AAAGGCATTTGACTGCGTGGATCATAACAAACTGTGGCTGACTCTGAGAAGAATGGGAATCCCAGAACATTTAATCGTGCTAATGCGAAACCTATACTTGTACCAAGAGGCAGTCGTCAGAACAGAGCAGGGCAACACTGAATGGTTCAAAATTGGGAAGGGTGTGCACCAGGGATGTGTCCTATCTCCATACTTTTTTAATCTGTATGCAGAGCAGATTATCCGAGAGGGTGGGCTCTATGAGGAGACGCATGGCGAGAACACTAGAAGGATGTCTATGTGTGGTTTATTGACTATGCAAAGGGATTTGATAGTGTGAATCACAACAAACTATGGCTAACATTGAGAATAATGGGAATCCAGAACACTTAGTTGTGTTTATACAAAATTTGTATCTACATCAAGAAACTGTTGTCTGAACAGAACAAGTGAACACTGTGTAGTTTAAGATCAGGAAAGGTGTCTAACAGGTCTGTATTCTTTCTCCATACTTACTCAATCTGTATGCTGTGCAACAGTCCTACGCCCTGCTCCATCCTGTGCCAGTTTCACAGTATCTGACACACCTTCCCCCATTACCCCAGTCACTGAATCAATCCATCTCATAGAGGGTTTTCCTCTCTTACACTGTCCCTCCATCCTCCCAAGCATGACGTCCCACTCCAGGGACTGGACCCCTTCTTGCAACATGTCCAAAGTACATCAGATGAAGCTTCAGAATCCTTGCCTCCAAGGAACCTCCAAAGAAGTTTAACCCTTTCCAGGACAAACCTGTTTGTTCTCTTAGTAGTCCATGGTGTATTCAATACTCTTCTCCAACATGACAGCTCAAAGGCATCAATTCTCCATCTAATATCCCTAGTCATTGTCCAGCTCTCTGATGCATACATAGCAAGTGATTGCAAAGACCATGGACTGTATCAGGCACACCTTAGTGTCCAGACTGACATCAAGGCTCTTAAGTACATTGGAAAGGTCTCTAACAGCAGACATTCCCATCGCAATACGTCTTTTGACTTCCTGGATGCTGGTTCCAAGAATGTTGATCGTGGACCCAACAAACTAAAGCTATTAACAATCTCTTCACCATCTATTATGACGATGCTAATCGGTGAGAATCTTTGTTTTCTTGATATTGAGCCTCAATCCATACTGAAGGCTGCAGTATTTGACCTTCTGCAGCAAGAATTTCAGGTACTCCTCAGTTTCAACAAACAGGCTTGGAGAAGCTAAACATTATGGAAAAAGTGTGGCATCAATAGTGGAGAAATATTCATCAATGATCTGCATTAAGTAGATGACACAACTTCACTTTCTGAAAGCAAGGAGGACCAGAGGTGTTTGCTGCAGATGTTCAAGGATTGCAGCCTTCAATATGGATTACATCTCAACATCAAGAAAAGAAAAATTAATCACTACTTAGCCATAGGCAACATCAAGATAGATGGAGAAAAGATTGAAGTTGTAAATTATTTAATCTTGTTTGGCTCTTTGTTATTAGCAGACAGGAGATCAGGAGATGAATGGTAATAGGAAATTTTGCTGTTAGGGACCTCTCCAAAATCCTGAAGAGCAAAGATATAAGTTTAAAGACTAAGGCATGAGTTATTCAAGCCATTTTTTAAATCACTTGCTATTCATCTGAAAGCTGGTCAATGACCAAGCATAATGAAAGAAGAATCATACCTTTGAGCTATGGTTTTGGAGAATAGTGCTGAATATATCAGGGACTGCCAAAAGAACAAAAAGATTTTTTTTGGGAAAGTGCAACTTTTTCTTGGAAGCAAGATTGGTGAAGTTTCATCTCACATACTTTGGACATAATAGGAGAAGCTATTCCTTGGAAAATGGATATCATACTTGGAAAGGTGGAAGGTCAGTGAAGGAGAGGAAGACTCTAAATGAAGTGGATTGATGCAGTGTCTGTGGCAATGGGCTCAAATGTGTCAGAGATGGGATCACTATGGGCTGTACTTGATTGACAGCACTTAACAACAAGAAAACCAACAATCAGATGCTGTAAACTGCATGTGAGGAGATTACCTATGTTCCTCTGGCAAAGTCACTGGTGGATCCAAATCACCAGGGAGGTGTGGCTTTTCACTGAGCCCTACAACTCTCTATGGATTTTGCCACAGAGCTCCCTAGAAAACTCTGTTGTTGTTATGTGCTGTTGAATCAGAATGGATTCATAGTTTACCCGTTAGTGGGTTTTCAGAGACTATAAATTGCATAGTAGGAGATTGTTCATTGGAATCATATGTTTTTGGGTTGACAGAGCAACTTCTTACCAGGTAGGCCACCAGAGTTCCCTATAGGTAGTTAGTTCCATTGTCACATAGGTTCACTATGAGTCAGAATTCATTCAGTAAGTCAATTAACAAAATGTCACTGGAAACTCTAAACTTTTCCTAATTAAAACCTTTTTATTGCAATTATTAGCAGACATTTATACCAAGGCATGGCGTCTGAACCAGTTCAGTCCCTTTTCTGCATGTCTATTGGGTCCACAGTCACCTTGCTTGCTCCCTGGATTGTAATCCACACTGCCTTCTGATGTTCAAATTGTCCCAAATGTGACTCTTCAGAGCACCTATAAGCTATTCCCTCTGCACTTATCTCCACCTTTTGATGTTATTATACCAACCCTGTTATTTCAATGAAAAGTTTGTTCAAGTTCTATCTTGAAGTATAAAGAATGGAGTAGAATTCTTTTTCATTCAAAAATTCAAAAAATTAAACAATTAAACTTCTTTTGACTTAAGTTTCCTTAAGTTTCCAGTACCCAGCTTCCATAACTGTTTATGGATAACAGGTTTCTACACTAAAGAAATCTGTGGAGTAGGATATATGTGACACCTACCTGTTCCTGGGACTTGAGGACTTTCATGGCCCTGAAGATGTACTTGTCCTTACTGGCTTTGTTGTACTCCTTCATGGCATACCAGAGTGCCTGCTGCATGTAGACATAGGTATCGGGGATATCTTGGAATTTTCTCACCACCTTTGGTGATCCCCAGACTTGGGCACTCCTTGAAACCAGGGCCACAAGGACTCCCAAAATCAGCACAGTTTGACAGGGGCTGGTCATAGCTGTCCTTCCAGAGCCAGGGCTGGAGGGAGGGAAATGCTCTAGACACTTGGGAAGACAGCTGTCTGCCTGCAACTTCTTGGAGCACTGCTAGAGTAAAGAGGTGATCTATAGTTAAGCTTTCTTTTAATGGCTTCTCCCACCAAAACAAGTTGAGTGAGAAAGCTACAGTCACAGTCCAGTTAAATTTCCCATGTTGGCACTTTCTTTTCTAAATGGATTCATGCCTTAACAATCACATATACACTTATGTATGAGTAAACATCATACAAGCACAAGATATGCAATGTATGCTTTCACTGGTGGACCCAAGTTTTGGAACCAACTTTTTTCTTTTGTATCTTCACAGAAATTAATGGAAATCTTCATCAGAATTCTGAATCTTTGTACAAACTTCAACTAATACCTCTACCCTTCCAATCAGGTTTACAATAGTAATAGCATAAATATCTATTTGTTCACCATTTTGGACCTTAAAAGCTTTAACTTGGCTAGTTATGGTGATATTCTTTGCTTGAGAAAGGCAGAGTAATCAATGTAGGTTTTCAGTGTTTACTAACATCTGCTCACATGTCCACACCTGACTCAAGGAATCTTCCTTCTATGGAAAACTTTGCTTTACTATAGTCCTATTAATGACACATGGGAGATTGACACAGTAGAAATCTTGCATGTGGATGTGGTCCATGGCGCTCATCATGGACTCCAGAGCCAGATGCTTTTTCCACCTCCCCTGCTTGTCAACATGCCTTAAGAGGCTTCACCTTAAGACACAGATAAAGGTGTTTTCATTACCTTGCTTTTAATTTAATGTATCAAAATGAATTTATAAACTATGCAATAAGATACAGCTTTGCTCTGTGAGAACTTCTGCTCCACAAAAGTGCCATGGTCTCTGGAGTTTCACACACAACACAGCAAAATAACAGACCTACCTCTGAATCAAGTTCCTGGCCACATTTGTGGTGATGGGATCCTTGATTGGTTGTCAGGCCATAGACATCTCTTCCTCAGTGAAACCTTGTGTTCCTGACCTCTGTACCCTCAGTTCCCTGAGTCTTTAGCACACTTTTTATTCACTGCACCAGGATAAGGCCTTCAGCAGGACTCTGGGTTTCTCTTGCCCTCTGATTTGCTTCCTGGGGTATCACACCTGACCTTTGTGAGGTAAGCCTCTGATGATGCACATGCAGGAGGACACCTTGGACAGAAGCTTGGACTTAATCTGCCCTCTGTGCACAATTTCTTGGCTCTTTGACTAGCTTTAACTTCTGGGTTTGGATTAAGTCAGTTTTCAGAAGAAGCATAGCCATGTCCCTTTTGGTCATATTTGACGTGCTGGCGGTGGGGGGGGGGGAGTTACACCAGACATGTATATGCAACAGAATAATCCTTCAAAAGCTTTATACGTAGAAAGTTGAATTAGCAAGTGTTTTATTGCACATGAATTTACTGCAATTAAATAAGGTCCAAGGAACTTTCTGGTGGCCTAGTGGCAAGAAGCTGTGCAACAATACTGGAGGCACACAGTTCAAGTCCACCAGATGGGCAATCTCCGCCTTTGTAATAACCTGTCTCTGAAAACTCACTGGAGGGTCAGCTACTGGTTGGTTCTGACTCAATGGTGCACAACAACAACAAACATTTAGAAGATATTTCTTTACAATTACTAGGCAGAAATTTCTGAGGTTTTTTCCCTCTATTACATAAATAAATAAATATTGTAGAAAGTATACAATAAGGTTTCTAGTCCAATCAAAAGGAAAAATAAATATATTTCCTGATAAGTGAAAATCAGAAGACTCAATCACTTGCAGACTTGTCCTCCAAGCAATGTTAATAGAAGTCCTTCATATTGAAATTAAAAAATATTACACAAGCACTCAAAATCATATAAAGAAAAATGAGAGAATGTATATACAAGAAGCTGAGTGAACATCATATAAAATAGATCCCAAAAGAAAAACACCAAGGCATATCATAGTTAAATTTGCCAGAACTAAAGATAAGGAGAGAATCCTGAAAGCAGTGAGGGAGAAACAAAGAATAACCTAAAAGGAGAGCAGATAAGATTAAGTGCCTATTTCTTGAAAGAAACCATATGTGCAAGAAGAGAGTTGGAAAACATATGTCAAACACTCAAAGAAGGCAACTGTCAACCAATAATACTGTACCCAGCAAAATTATCCATCAAATATAAAGGAGAGATCAAGATATTCCCAGAAAAACAGAACCCAAGAGAGTTTGTATAAACAAGATCAGCATTGCAGGAAACACTGAGAGATGTCCTTCTTGCAGAAGTACCACAGAAAGCAGCATGGACCAACATACTAGCAACAACATCAAAAAGAATTCAACAAAATGATAGCAATATAGCCCTGCCTTTCAGTAATCACACTGAATGTGAATAGCTTGAACACACCATTGAAGAGAAGAAAAGTAGCAGATTGAATAAAAACCCCAAAATTCATCAATATGCTATCTACAAGAGACACACGTGAAAAAGTAAAAGAAAGAAAGACTAAACATAAAAGGATGGGAAAAAATATACCAAGCAAACAGCAACTAGAAAATAGCAGGAGTAGTGATATTAAAGTCTGATAAAATAAATTTCAAAGCAAAAATCATCATAAAGGACAAGGAAAGTCACTACATATGATGAAAGGATCAATAAAACAAGAGGACATAACAATAATAAATATCTATGCACCAAATGAAAGACCTGCAAAATAGATTAAAGAAACATTAACAAAACTGAAGAAGGAAATAGCACTACGATAGCAGTTGGAGACTTCAATACTCTGCTCTCAAGAAAAGATAGAACTACCAGAAAAAAAAACAACAAGCAACAACTCGGTAAAGATGCTCAAGAACTAAAAAAAACAATAAACTAAGTCAACTTCATAGATATTTATAGGCTAATGCACCCCCCCCAAAAAAAGCAGTATACCTTTTCCTCCAAGGTGCATGAAAGATTCTCCAGAATAGATCACATTCTAGGTCACAAGGTAATCATCAATAAATTTAAAAACATAAAAATAACACAAAGTATTTTCTCAGACCACAAAGCTACAAAATTAGAAATTAATAATAAGAGGATAAAGGAGAAAACCCCCATACATCTGGAAGCTGAACAACACCTTGCTTGAACATGAATGGGTATGAGAAGAAATAAAACACGAAATAAAAAGTTTCCTGTAACATATGACAATGAAAACACCACTTTCCAAAACCTCTGGGAAACAGCCAAAGCAGTACTCAGAGGTCAATTTATAGCAATAAGCACAAATATTAAAAGGCAGAAAAAAATAACCATTGACTCTCTAAGGCAACATCTCAAAAAAATTGAAAGAGAACAGCAAGAAACCCAATACCCTCTAAAAAAACTAAAATGATAAAATTAAAGCAGAAATAAATGAAATAGAACCATCAACAAAACAAGGAGCTGGTTATTTGAAAAGGTCAATAAAATTGACAAATCACTAGAAAAACTAAGAAAAGAAGGAAAAGACACAAATAATTCTAATAAGAGAGAAAATGGGCAACATCACAACAAAAGCCACTAAAATAAAAAGGGTAATATTGGAATATTATGAGACATTATACTCAAAGAAATATGAAAACCTAGAGGAAATGGACAAATACATAGAAATTCACAACCTACCTAACCTGACACCAACCAAAACTGAACACCTGAACAGACCCATTAAAGAAATTGAAAAGGTAATAAAACAACTTCCAGGGAAAAAAAAGTCCTGCATAAAAGTGCTTTACAAGTTTATTTTATCAAACATTCACAGAAGAACAGACACCAATCCTACATAAACTATTTCAGAAAATAGAAAAAGATGGAATTCTCCCAGACTCAGTCTATGTAGCAAACATATCCTTGATACCAAAGCCATGTAAAAATACCAACAAAATAGAAAACTATAGGCCAATATATCTCATGAACATAGATGCAAAAATCCTGGCCAATAGAATCCAATGATACATAAAATAATAATAATAGTAATTCACCATGACCAAATGAGATTCATAAGAGGGATGCAAGGATGGTTTGACGTAAGAAAAACAATCAATGTAATTCATCACAGTAACAAAGCAGAGAACAAGAACCACACGATTCTATCAATTGATGCAGAAAAGGCCTTTGACAAAATCCACACACTTTCCTGATTAAAACACTCAACAGAATAGGATTAGAGGGGAATTTCTTCAACATAGTAAATAGTATATACACAGACCGGAGAGTCAAAATTGTTCTCAATGGAGAGAGGTTAAAGGTATTCCCTTTAAGAACAGGAACTAGTCAAGGATGCCCACTATCACCTCTCCTATTCAGTATTGTTATGGAAGTCTTAGCAATAGAATAAGACAATAGAAGGAGATAAGAGGTATCCAAATTGTCAAAGAGGAGGTAAAATTATCTCTCTATGATAGTATACTTAGAAAACCCTAATGACTCAGCAAGAAAACTTTTTTGGACATAGTTCACCAATTCAGCAAAGTAACAGGATACAAGACCAACATGCAAAAATCAGGTGGATTTCTCTTTAGTGACAAAAAGAATACAGAGCCTGAACTAAGAAAAACAATACCCTTCACAATAGCTAATCACAAGATTAAATACTTGGGAGTCAATATGATCAGAAACACAAAGGATCTATTCAAAGAAAATTAAAAAACATTACTACAAGAAACAAAAAGAGACCTGGAGAAGTGAAAGAATATCCCTTGCTCATGGATAGGAAGAAAGACTCAATATTGTAAAAATGGCAATACTACCAAAGGCAATTTACATGTTTAGTGCAAGCACAATACAAATACCATTTTTCAAGGAGATGGAAAAGGTAATCTACAGTTTCATTTGCAATGGAAGGAAGCCCTGAATAAGGAAAGCATTCCTTAAAAATAGAAACAAGGTAGGCGGAATCTCACTCCCTGATTTCAAATCCTACTACAGTGCCATGGTGGTTAAGACAGCATGGTACTGGTAA